CTTTTAACTATGATCGGGTTTTTCATTTTTCAAGAGCGAACTAGGTAATAAATTTGAATGCTCGATGTTACTTTTTTTTTTTTCTTGGTGGTACTCGTATCTTGACATTATAATTTGCAAAATACAGCAATATATGAATTAAAAATTCATTTCTAAGCAAACAATAAAATACATAAGTGATGTATTTAATTAATTATGCTAATTACGATGACAATAAAAAAGATACAATTAAGCTCAATTAAATCATACATGTGAAAAATTAGCATGCAGTTAAATTCAATTATGAAATGAAACAGCTTGTTACAAAAAAAAAAAAAAAAAAAAAACAAATAAATAAAAAGTGGAATATAAATATTTTTAAAGTCAATGAATAAATATTTTTTTAGGCAAAGAGTAAATATTAGGTAAAGATACATATTCTTTTAGTTCGAGTAAATATTAGGCAAAGAGTAAATTTTTTTTTTATGCAAGGGTAAGTATGGTTTTTTTTCTAGACAAAGGGAAAATTGTTTTAAAGATAATAATAGGAATCGATTTTTCAAAACAAAAAATTAAAAATTTCATAAAAGAATTTTTTTGTCGATTAATTCTAGTAATAGTTGGATATTCACAATGAATAAATAAATATTTTGAATTTGTAATTATCACCTTTGATGACCTAGTCGATTAAATTTACTTTTAGGTATTTGATAGGTTCACCACCGCAAATATTGACATATTATCAAAGTTATAATTTATACCTAAAATATTTCTTTTCTATACCTATTTAAAGGACTATGTTACCATAGTAAAAAAAAGTTGCACCGATGTAGCCCATTTATCAATGCTCTGTGGCAATCATAATTACATATGTAAGTCCGTACGGGTTTACTTATTTTTGCGAGTAATACAAACCAAAAAAGGAAATCCGATATTGTAAAAAACTACAGTAAGTGCGTGAAATGAAAATTTAGAGTTGGGCCTTAACATTAGAGGCTATAGAAAAAGATTAATACTCATTATATAAAATCTCATTCCCGACATTTTCAATTAGTGCATCAAGGTCGATTTGAACGCTAGTTTTTGAGTATTTTCTTCTTTTCTTTTTTCACACGTGTTCGGATTCTAGTCAAAATTCGTACTCTCTGATTGGCTATCTCCTTTTTAAGAGTTTGTATTACTCGCTAAAATAAGTGAGTCCAGTATGTGTACGTATGTAAGTATGTACGTACGTACGTAAAAATTGTACTAGATAAACCTGATAGAGAATAACGCCAGATTTTAATGTAGGTGAGTGCATTGAAAAAATGTGCGGCAGTATGGTAAATACCGCTTGAATATTGAAAATTCGAAGAATTTGGCGTAAAATAATTACTTGTTTTATAATTTAATTTAAAATAAAGTCCATAAAGTAAATAAGTGAATTCGCCCAAAATAGACAGTATGAATTTGTTTTATGTTTATGGTGTAAGTGTTATTATAGTTACCCAATTATGGATATATGACATTAAATAAAGTTTTTTTTTTTTTTAATAAACAAAAAATCAGTAACAAATATATTCGATTTTTTTTTATAATTTTTTGATTGGTTAAATTCATGAAAATAGGATTCCATGAATAATCACAAAGGTCTAGCTTCGTGTGTTGGGGTGTTATGATTTGGGGTGTCATGATTTTGTTAGTTACACGATTTAATACTACTCAAGTCACTTAAGTGAGTGTTTGTAGTATAATCTTATGAAAATGCTACTAAATAATATTTTGACATTTTTTTTTGTTCTTAGATTATCTTTAAATAGAAAAAAACATTAAAGCCACTTTAAACTTTTCAGTTTGAGTTTAATTAAAAAGGTAAAGTTAGAATACTTAGTTACATCTTTCGGAATTTTCCATGTTATTTATAAATTGACCAATTAATGTATGAATAGAGTGCATACATATGGTTGAAAAGAATATTATTATGGTTAAATAAAATTTCTCAAGTGCATAATAATAGCCCCTAGTATTCATCTATTCGAACCTTCGTTCTACTTTACATATTAAATAAATGTAGTGTAACGATTTTGAACATTTTTACATAATTTACATTCCGGCGCATAAATCTTTAATAAGCAGAGCTGCGTAAATGATGTATACACATAAACCACATATGTTCTTTATTTGTTTGTTTGAGATTTAAATATTATGTGTTATTAATGTCGCGATCCTCGATAAGTAAACTGCATTTTGATTACAAGAAAACAACTATTGTACACAGTCATTTGCCCAAAGGTATAACAGCCACACCATTTTAGAAAATATTCAATGAGATCGGTTCGATTACATATATTCGAAATATTTTATTACTGTATTTTCCTCGTACGCACTTTGGAGATTAAAAAGTACGGATTGGTTTATCCGTGTATCAATTTATAACTGTGCCATGTTTCTAATTTTTAATAAATATGCAAATATCTAACGACATTAGAAAACACAACGAAATTTTTTTCACTTACGAATTATTAAATTTTGTTTTGTCGCCGTGACAAACATACTTTCACATTCTTTACGTTCTTTATATATATTAGCATTTATCATATTATCATTTTAATACAATCGCTTTTTATTAAAGAGTCTTTCAATTTTTATTTTTATTTTTATTTTTATTTTTTTTTCATTATTACAAAAATGGGTAATAACGAATCAACTACTAATAATTATTCGAAAACTCTTAAACAAATTCAAAATGGCAAAGATAATGATCCGTTGTTTAAATACAAAAATGGCCGGAAATTTCTTAAAAACGCAAACATGTTTTATTTTTTACCAATCGATGAACTTGAATCAGACAGAATGCAATTAAGAGTATGTAAATTTCATAATATTTAAATCGCATTACTATATTTACTTCTAATGAAAATATTTTTAAAAGCAAGTAATTAAGCACTTAAGATTTTTATATTGTCTGATTCGCTTATTAAGATGATTCAAATGATATTAAAATAATAAGTGTTTAAATTACTTGATTTTAAAATTTTTTTTTAGTATCATGTATTCAAAAATCATGATTTACAGACTGTCCTAGTATCTTTTTTACGTTATTCATGTTGTTTAACAATTCTTATTTTTAAATTCTTATTTCTAGCACGATGTAGATTGGCATGTCTGGCGAACAAATTTTTCTTCTCCAATAGAAACAAGCTTAAAACTTGGAGGAGCCCAAGTTCTCGATGTTGCGTGAGTTTTATAAAATTTTAATCATGACTTTTAATAATGACTTTTAAATAACATTTTAATTTCTATTTATTAACACATTATTTCAATAAAAAAGATGTGGATCCGGCTTATGGGTATTCGAAATGGTATTCTTTTTTTCTATTGAACAATCTAATAATTCTTAACTTTTATCAAATATACATAAATTGAGAATTTCTCGTTACGTATTTTAAAGGCATCTGATTATCCACTTTCGGAATTTACTGGTGTAGACGTCGCACCAATGTTTCCATCTGATGTCATGCCTCTAAATGTAACTTTCAAACAATGTGATATATTGGAAGGATTGCCATACAGTGATTGTTCGTTTTACTATATACATATCAAAGATTTATTCCATCATTTTCCCTTAAAAATTATTAGGGATCAATTATTTCCCGGTAAATTTTTTTTTCGTTTTCTAAATTATACGTTGATCAATTAGGTAATAAAACATTTATTATTTACTAGATTTACTTCGAATTTTAAAACCTGGTGGATGGATCGAAATCCAAGATCGTGATCCAATTATGATAAATGCTGGCCCTATCTGCAAGCGTCTTGAAGACATGTGTATGTATATACAGTATATTGATATACTTTCTTATTTTAATTAAAAATTTTTTAATTAAATTTCTTAAATTCATCACTCTTAAATAATTACATAATATATAGTGTCTTTAAGCTTTTTAAATCGCGGCATACATATTAAAAGTCATTATGATGATATGGAAAAATTATTTGAAAAAAATAATTTTGTAAAATATCATTTTGAAAGAAAAACTATTGCCTATGCCGATCTTGATTTGGTAAAAAAAAAAAAAAAAAAAAAAAAAAAAAAAAAAAAAAAAAAATTTAAAATTTTAATTTTTCAATTTTCAACTATCGTGTTTGTTATGTATTATCATATTATTAATATCAATATGTAATTTTTTTTTTATTACATTAAATTAGGCAATACAAGATTTTCTTTCTACTTATAAAGCTATGAGATTCACACTGACCGAATATTCAGGAGCCAATGCTGAAGAATATGATAAGATAGTTGAGAATGCTAGCAAAGAATTAATTGAATACAATTCTGAATTTGGCTCAAGAAAATATTTTGGTCAAAAACCTATGGTATATGATATTTAATACGAATAATTATGTAACATTTATAAGTGCGTATGGATTATATATGCATTTATCTACTTAAAACAAGATGATTCCTATATATAAGCTAATTTCTACTTAAGAGTTCGTTTAAATGGATAATAAAAGATAATAAAAGATAACGTTAAAATAATTTGATGCTATGAATTTTCTTTTGTTTTTTCCTTTTCATCACCTTACTACAATAGTTTGTCTTCCATCATCCTACTGTAATAGTTGGGTTAATATGACAATCTACAGGAAGGTGTAAGGGATCTCAATTTTAATCACGTATAAAATCCTGATTGATTCTTTAAATCAGAATTAGAATGCCTATGCATTAACGAATGTATGCGTTAGTGAACGAGTCAAATAATTAAGAACCTTTATGTAATCGTGATTGAGTTATTTTTTAATTGAGAACACGCTACTCTGAGTTAAATTACGATGTTTTTAGTGGTTCATTAACATTTATAGATGCACTCCCACTCTAAATGCACTTTTTTTTTCCTGCATTCTCAGGATTCTCGGAATTCGCAGGACTCGCAGGGCTCGCAGGGAATGCGTTTATAGAATCAATTTTGGATCTTAATAATGACTTGAGTGATACTGAAATTCTATGCAAGTAATTTGCAGGGAAAACGATTATAGAATCAACTTAATTTAATTTTTAAAAATGACTTGAGTGACCAAAAAAATTCTATGCAAATGTTTTATTAGTTACTATCACATTTATTTCATTTATTTTATAATTCGTCCTTAAGTTTAATCATTTATTTTATAATTCGTCCTTAAGTTTAATCATTTATTTTATAATTCGTCCTTAAGTTTAATCATTTATTTAATTTCGTATTTGTTGATCCATCCTTCATCCGATCTTCATACTGTTGCCACAACACAAAAGAAAAAAACAAAGACCAATTTTATAAAGGACTCCTATTGGCTATTTATTAATACTATTAATAAGCATTTTCTCATTTTTAAATATTTCATTCCTACTCAGGTTATCACAAAGTCGATTCTAAATTCAAAGAATTCTAAAAAAAAACACCTACAACATTCTCCGTACAATAAAACTTCTCCGTGCAATAAAACAATTAAAAATTATAAAATTGATTTACAGAGAAGACAATTTATATCGACATTAAATTATATTGTTACCAAATTAGTACTAGAAAAAGTCATTTTAAATGGGAAAGTCATTTTACACTGCATCAAGAATTCTTTTAAAGACGTTTATTCCGTACAATAATATTGAGAAGATTATTTTAATAGTATAATGAAAATGGATTTGTGAATTGAATACTACGACTATAATTAAAAAAAAGAAAAAGAAAAAAAAAATATAACAATAAGATAACGATAAGATAATGAATTGTTCATCAAGTATTTGTTGTAAGTGGAAATGGAACATAAACAGGTTTGGAATCTACTTAAATTGGAACTATTCTAAAAATTCTCCTAACCTTAATACATTCATAAAGTGTTTTACAGATTTCTTTATCATTTTTCCTGATATGTATACAAGGAATACCATGGTTAAATAGCATGATTATCCGGTACGTATTCTTAAAGTGTAACCCGTAATTACAGAATTATGGCAGGACAAAGTTTACCCGGGATCTACCAGTTTAGGACAGCCAGCTACCAAGTACGTACGTACATAGTAATAGTTACAGTCATTTTGTGGAACCGGGAACCATATAATGTACCATAATTTAATCATTTTCTAAATGAAAGTGAAATAATAATAATAAATAAATAATAATAATAGTAGCACAATTAAAGTTTGATACGAAAAACAGGTTAGTGTTATAGTTAACTAAATACAGTAATGGTGAAAAGTTTTTTTGATTTGATTATCTGGATGTTATTTTATTCGATAATTTACTTTTATTCGATAATTAATCTTACATATAAAAAAAAACATTATACATGCATACATATATATATATATATATATATATATATATATATATATATAGTATAGGTATGCATAACCAACAGCGTCAGTATTATTTATTGAGTGTCAGTATGATTTATTGTAGCCATCTTTGGCAGTAGTGAAAGTAAATCCTAAAACCTCATTTTCTAATATATTGGAATGTTAAACGATCCGGAAATCCAAGTTAGGTCCGGATAATCTATCCAATCTAATCTGGTACTAAAGTTTTTTTTTTTGGTATCAAATACTATTACAGTAATAAAAATTAAATACAGTAACAGTACGAATTAAAACAGTACACATTATATAATATATATTAGATAAGATGTGTCCGAATCAAGAATTGACTTTCAAGTCAACATAAAAACTTTTTTTTGACTATACCGATTTAGTTTACAACTATTTGAACTATTCTCAAAATAGCTCGTGATATATGTAATGCCTGTTTGTTTATTAAAATACATGACACGCATAAGACAGTGTTACAAACATGTTTTAAAGTTGTGGATAAATTGTTTACAAAGAACGTCATCAGATTAAGTATGGCGGAGTTGATTTTTAGGGTCCTTGTTGATACATTGTTACACGAATTTTTGCTCATAACGATAAGTGACGCTAAAAAGTAACAAACGAAATACTTGTCACAAGTGATAAAAGAGACAAATAAAAACCAAATAAACCGGGTATACTAAGCTATAGAAAGAAGCACTAATATCATTTGTTAAAATGTTTTAGGAGGAGTTGGGTGGGTTGGTCATTTTACGATGAGTTAACGGTGAATTCGGAAGGAAATGTTCAAGAAAACTGCCTTTTTGACCTACCCCTGGCCGGGAAGTTTCAAGAACACGGAACCCAGTGATGATCACGAATTATCCCCTCGATATAATCACATATTAATTTTGATTG